GTTTAAATGCAAGACCTAGTACAGCTACATAAAGCTGGATTCTCATTAGAAAGCTAATAGTTCTTCAAGATCTGACAGATCTTCGAATTTGTAATTTGCCTTTTTAACTCCACAGCTGACAGTAAAGGGCTTTTTCTTGTTCACTGGCGCACCAAAATTCCCCAGATCAAAGCTATACCACTATCTGTTTATTAGAACAGCATCTCACTAAACCAGTGTCGCAGTGGTCACTGGGAGGCTGTGATAGAACCTGTGAGTATGAAGGTGAGATCTTTCCCATTAATTCAAAGAGGGAAATAAGTTCCAGCACTGATGTTAACATAAAGTGACATTTAATTTATGATAGAGCACATCTATGGAAATGATAAATTGGAAGCATTATTTGTGTGAGAGGCACTAGGGTTCCTATTCACTTTTCTAGCTTCATGTCCAACCAGTGACTTTCCTTTTAGACATGAATTACTCTCGGTTCATCACCACTGTGAGTGCAGCAAGAAAAGCATCTCCAATAAGACTTCTGAGTGAGTATTTGCCCATTCTTTCCAGGTTCTCTAGAAGGGTATTGTTCTACATTCTGGACTTTTCTGGGGTATCATCGCTAAGGGCTTGAAAAGGCTTGAAAGAAAACCATGCTGTAAGCTGATAGCAAGGCCAGTTAACTGTTTTTGCTTTTGTCAAGTTGAGATGTTGTCGTGGTTTAAAACCCAGTCCGGTAACTTGTTCACTCACTTCCCCCCCTTTTCTTGCCCTCCCCCTGCTCTCGGAGGGATGGAGAGGAGAATCGAAAAGAATGCAACTCCCACGGGTTGAGATAAGAACAGTTTAGTAACTAAGGTATAACACAAATCACTACTGCTACCACCAATAATAATAATGATAAAGAGAAATAACAAGGGAAGAGAATACAACACCTCAGCACCAGCCGACCGATAACTCGCCCCCCCCCAGCCCGACCAAGCTCCGACCGATACCTCCTCCAACCCCTGCAGACTCCCAGCCCTTCCGGCTCACTCCCAGTTACATCCTGGGCATGACGTGCTGTGGTATGGAATACCTCTTTGGCTAACTTGGGTCAGGTGTCCTGTCTCTGCTTCCTCCTGGCTTCCCCTTCTCCCTGGCAGAGCATGAGGCTCACAAAGTCCTTGGCCAAACCAAAACATCGCTTGTTATCAGCTCTGTTCCCGAGCTGAAAGTCAAAACACTGCACTGCACCAGCTACCAAGAAGGGGAAAAATGACTGCTACTGCTGAACCCAGGACATTATCCACCCCTTATTCCATACCATTCACGTCATGCTCAGATCCCACATTTTCAATATACCATCACTCTTATCTCAGTGCACTCTTATCTTAGTGCATGGACCAGTCCCTATAAAGCTGCTGAGTCCATCTGGTCCATGATGTCAGGCTCCGTCTCTTGTAACAGTCTTCCAGAGCAGGAGAGACTGTGTGCAGTGTTCACACTCGTGAATAACCTGGGCAATAGTGTCCATTGCTAAGTCCACCCCTCGATCATGAGTCCATCTCTGTGTTGCATCTCTGCTCTGATGGCCTGAAGTGCATTGGGCCCACCAGGCTCAAAATAATTCACTGTCCCCTTCAGCAGTTTCTGCAGCTTGTTGCTGGGGACTCCATACAGCTGCCTTCCATCTCCAATGCTTCCAAAGCACTGGAGGGGCCCAGTGGACTAGATACTTGCCCACACTGTCCCACACACCCTGCCACTCCTGGCTGTCCAGCCTTGGGGAAAACCTCTTGGTCCCCCCATATCCTCGTCTAACCCCAGACAAGACCCAAACCTGACTCTGCTTAACTTTTGAGATCAGACAAAATGGTTGTGGGTAGAACACAGTCTGTGTGTGTGCCAACATGCTGATCCCCATCACAACCAGCAGGCAGGTCCCAAGGGTACCCAAAGGCCATTCAAAACCTTCAGAACTCTCAGCTGATGCTGCTGTACTTGTCACTGGGGCTGGTGTAGCTGCTGTGCTTGCCGGCTCTCCCACCGCCAGCTTCTCTTTTCCTGAGTCCAGCTCTTCCTCCTCTGCCTTGCTGGGAAATGCTGCGTGGTCTCCTGCATCCTCCTGGGGCTCGGCGGGCGGCTTCCGGGAAACGCTCTCGGCCGTCGCGGGGCTGGGCTCGGCCGCGGGGCTCGGCTCCTCCGCGGGGCTCGGCTCCTCCGCGGGGCTCGGCTCCTCCGCCGCCTTCTCCCGCTGCTCTGCAGCCGCCTCCTTCTGCTCCTCGACCGCCCCGACCTCCTCCACCGGCAGCCGTCCCCTCGCGGCCTCCGGCCCCGCTCCCGCCGCCGCTTGGTCCCCGGGGCCGCTCTCCCGGGCCGCTTCAGCAGCCGCCGGCTCCCGGGGCCGCTCCCCCTCAGCTCCCCGCAGCCTCACGAAGATGGAGAGTAGGGCGAGGGCCAGGACGGTGAAGAGCAGCCGGACGGCCAGGTACAAGTCCACGGCCACGTCCGTCCCGCCCTGCTGCTGGAGCCCGCCCGTATTACAAGCCATTGCCATAAAGCACAGTGAGACAAGAACCTTAGCCCAAGCCCCATACTTGATAAACACTATCACAGCAAATACCGGCTCTACGTAAGTTACAACATTCTGAAGCTGTGAGATCAAGCGAAACAACTCTGAGAGCCAATAAATCAGCATTGTGACGAGTGACTATTAATCCAGTCAAATCTGTCGTTATCTCAACCCTTCGTGCCCCACGTTGGGCGCCAAAAAGAACTGTCGTGGTTTAAAACCCAGTCCGGTAACTTGTTCACTCACTTCCCCCCCTTTTCTTGCCCTCCCCCTGCTCTCGGAGGGATGGAGAGGAGAATCGAAAAGAATGCAACTCCCACGGGTTGAGATAAGAACAGTTTAGTAACTAAGGTATAACACAAATCACTACTGCTACCACCAATAATAATAATGATAAAGAGAAATAACAAGGGAAGAGAATACAACACCTCAGCACCAGCCGACCGATAACTCGCCCCCCCCAGCCCGACCAAGCTCCGACCGATACCTCCTCCAACCCTGCAGTCTCCCAGCCCTTCCGGCTCACTCCCAGTTACATCCTGGGCATGACGTGCTGTGGTATGGAATACCTCTTTGGCTAACTTGGGTCAGGTGTCCTGTCTCTGCTTCCTCCTGGCTTCCCCTTCTCCCTGGCAGAGCATGAGGCTCACAAAGTCCTTGGCCAAACCAAAACATCGCTTGTTATCAGCTCTGTTCCCGAGCTGAAAGTCAAAACACTGCACTGCACCAGCTACCAAGAAGGGGAAAAATGACTGCTACTGCTGAACCCAGGACAGATGTCAAGGAGGTGTAAAGAAGAAGAAAGTGGATAGCCTTGAACCCATCCAGACAGAAGAGAGAGAGTACTGTCACTTCAGCATGGGTCTGGAAAATCTCTGCTACTGCCTCTGAAGGAGGGCTTTTGGCACAGTTTTCCACTGAATTTGCTCTGGGTGCCCAGGAACAAGCAACTGTTAATGACTTGAAATTCAGGCCCAGCTTCTTTACATGTAGCTTTCCTGTGTCCTGTCCATAAATTCCTCACCACACCAACCCCCTCAGTGTTGCTACACTTTCCTTTTCTGCATTATGCTATCTTCAGGCTACCATGTTACGTAGTCTTCTGTGACAGATAGAAAATGTTAACTGTCTATTTATTTACTCAGTTGAAACCTACAGGGACCTGACAATCAGAGTATGAGACATACATCACTAGTTGGACCTTCAGGGGTCAATTACCTCTCTTTGTAAGGGGCTGGCATTTGCTGTTCCGCTTAAAATGCTCCATGCTAAGTCAACTAACTCACTATAGACAGTCTCTGTACTTTTTTCAAGTAATACACTGATACACATCATAACACCAGTGCTAATTAACACAGCTTGTGCAGAAAGACACACTGAGGCTGCAGTTTTGATGACAAAGTAAATTTGTCTACCAGACCAAAAGTCACAGACATGACCCCTGTTACTGAACAGATAAAAATTAACTCCCCATGTTCAAGTTTGCTAAGTAGTAGTGGAGAATAAGCTCTGTAACAAGAGGCTTTAAGCCAGATCTGGTGTCATCTGTCCTCTCATACCTGATGTAAAACTGTCAAGTCCACATGGCTGCTATATTGTGAGCTTTTAGCTTTAATGCAGTCTAGTGCTCTTGCTGGATTAAGGTCTAGTCTGTGCTGCATAGATTGGGTCTGAGTGATTATGAAACAGACTTTAAAGCAAGAGTTGTTAACTTTTCCTTCATACTGAATTACTTGCACAGTGCCTCCACCACTGAAGCTGGGCAGTCAGACTTTCCCATTCCTTGTGGAAAAAGCTATAATCATATACATAACTATCAGTGTAGATGCACTACTGCCAGCCACATAAACTAAAGTGACACTGAACAAAAAGCCAATCATGCCAAGTCAGTCTAAACAGAAGATCAGTAAGATTTTGAATTCTTGAAGCTTAAAAGACACCGGTCACAGAACGAGTTGTTGTAATAGTAGAACAGACCACGTAAGATTACAAAAAGCTATTTATAGTTTACTTTAAAGATTTTTTTTTTTGTTTTGGTCCGTCTCATTCATGTACCCTTGCCACACACACATACGCACACATTTAATCTGGGTAGAAAGGTGAGTTTGAAAAGAATCATTATCCTTCTGAATTCATGACAGTTTAAAAAGAAGTTAGAAATGGAACAAGCTTCTCTGGAGTATAATTGCATACTGACTAAAGGATATGATCAGTGTTGCAATAATCAAATTGTAACCAAGGTTTTTTTTTTCTTTTACTCTAGCTGAATTGATGGAGAAGTCTCCTCCATCTCTCATCTCTCTGGCTGGAGGAGCACCAAACCCTGACCTTTTTCCATTTAAAAAGGCTACTGTTGCCATTGGACATGGAAGTGCTATTGAGATTGGGGAAGAGTTGATGAAGAGAGCTCTCCAGTACTCAGCCTCAGCAGGGTATCCTTCACAACTGCTTGCATGTCAAGATACCAGAATTAAGGGATCACAAAATCCTTTATTATTGTATTAATTCACCTGTGTTTTTAAAACCTGGTTATAAAATCTGTTTTACAAAAAAGGTTTAACTTCTCTCAATTTGCCTCACTATTTACATTTTGATTTAAGCGGAAAGTTTTCAGCAGATAAGCGATTTTAAAAAGTTACCACAAACCTAATACTAGTAATTCTCATGCCAGAGCATTTCCTGTCTGTTAGTACTTGAGACTCCAGACTCCCAGGTCACTAGGAGGAATCATTCTGTGTTTTGCAGTAAGATCCTCATTAAAAGATGCTGCATTGCACTACATATTTCCCATATTCTGGAGTGTTTGGGTTACTTTCATTTGGTACCATAGACCGAAATCAATATATATTGCTAGTGATAGTTGGAACTATTTATAGTATTGTCATTTCTAGTACAGAAATTGCATATCAGTAAGTTACTTTAGCAGTCATGTAACTCCCCAGCAGACAGCACTGAGTCAGGCTTGTGACAGGTTGGCAAAAATATTTAGGTACACAATTTATAGATGCAAGCAGGGCATTAATCAGTGAAGTTCAGACTTTTCTTGATACTGAAATGAGCCCAGCCATTTGTGAACATCCTGAAAGATCTTGATACCTGTTTTTTTAAAAAACCTGTTTCAGAAATCCTTATTAGCTGCAGCCTATTACTAGCGCATTGAGAGTTTTGCCACGTTGCCAAGTTTGAGTATGGGAAGATCACTCTTAAGAGTGGACATAGTTCAGCCTCCACCCCTATTCCATCCTTGTCAAATCATTTCTGCCCATTTCAGATGATTTGGTATACGGACCACAGATGCCCATCTCTTCTGCTTTCCCATAGGAAACATTTGTCTGATTTTCATGGTTTGATAAAGTAGTCATAAAATTAACATCAAAGTGTATCTGTATGACAGCTGAAATCAGACTTAGGACTGTGTGCTAGATTTGGCAGTGATTTAAAGGAACAGCCTAGCTTTGGCCTATAGAAGACACTGTATACACCTTATTTATTCACATTTCAGGGTTCCAGAGCTTTTGTCTTGGCTAAAGAATTTCCAGCGAAATCTACATAATCCCCCCACAGCCAACTACAGTCCTGAGCAAGGACAAATGGAAGTGTGTATCACAACTGGCAGTCAGGAAGGCTTGGGTAAAGTAAGACTGAAAGTTTCATATGTTAAAAGTATTTCTTTGAGATGTTTGTTCTCTCATTAGTTCAGTTATACATGATTCATTATTCAGTTATATATGGCATGACATGCCATTGTATAACTATGAACAGGGTACTTTATTAAATACATGTCCCAGTATTATCAATACAAGATAATAGAACTGAAATAAAACTGGTGTGGCAGTCTCGCTGTCATAAATGCTGAGGTAAACCAGAGCCTGTCAGAAAATACTCTGTTAAGGTAACATTTTACATTACTCAGGTAGTGCAGTAATAAGTACATAAGTGCATTATTTGTGTTACTGTAACTCGACTCTAATTGTTTCACTTAATTACCCTTTCCAGTCCACTCACTCAGTTGATCCTTTCTCTAACTGAAGTACTGTTTCTACTGTGTAATAGAGCACTGTCTTTCCATTTCAGATTGGTATTCTATAGCTGATTACCCAGCTTCATTTGGCTCTAAAGCTTTTTTTTTTATCCAATCAGTTCAATGCTTTTCTCACAGACAGCATAATTATGTGGTTAGGGAATTACTAATACCTAATCAAGATTTTTAATCCCATGAAGAAGTCAGAAGTATGAAGCATGTATACAAGAATAGCACAATCTTTTAAAATACTCTTTTACAGGTGTTTGAAATGCTCATTAACCCTGGGGACAACATCCTCTTGGATGCACCAACATACTCTGGAACACTAGCAGCTGTAAGTATTTTTTAGCTACACAACATTGTGAAGGTTACTTTTGAAGTAAACAGCAATTTAGTACTTGATCTGCAGGCTTATATATGCTCTGTTTACTGTGAAAAGATATTTAGGAATCACATTTTTAGTGTTAGTCAAGTTAAGTTCATAAATCTTAATTCATAGAAGCCCCTCTACTAAGTTCTATAAAAATTATTCTGGGATTTGGAAGAGGAACTTCTATCCTAATTCATTCAAGGACTAGGGTCACATTTGGGACGGGAAAGAAAGCCATTATAACCTAGTTCTGTTGAAACAAAGTTATAACAAGTGGGTATTTTAACATGTCAGCACATTCAGCTGAAGTATTTTGTGGTCTGATTATACCATAGCTATGGATAGTATAAAATTGGAATAGGCCTAACACATCCTTATATGAGTATGAAGAGGTGAATTATTAAGAACTATACAAAAATAGCAAATTTTACTTCTGAAAAATAACTATCAGTATGTACTCAAATGTCAGCTCAACATGCATAAGAAAAGAAGGGTTAGAATAGATAATACACAATTTCAGTCATGTCCTCATGCATCAAAAGGAATTTTGATGTTTACTGTGCCAAGTTTGAATATCTTGTCTAATAAATATACTTTGTTAGGAATATATTTTGGCAATGCAGCAGCTTGCATTTTTGTTTAAAAATGGAGACTGCTACCTGGTACAAATTGAAATTCCATAGAGGGGAGACAACATGCTTTTTTGTTGGAATTTTACCTGTATTTTTTCGTACTGCTGTTAATGTGTCATTGCAGTAGCATCATTCCATTCCCTTTTGTATTGCTGAGTATATCTGTTAAGAACAGATTCTTTGTCCTTTGTCAGAAGTAGCTTGCAGTTCTGGCACTTCCACTGAAGTAGAATGCAAAATGTCAGTAGGAAATGAAGGTACTGTGAACATAGCATCTGTAGTGAGACCAAGGGAGTCCTGAGAGAACACAGTTCAAATTCACAAAATCCCTTTTTGATTGCAAAAACCATATGCAATTTCCTAGAGAAGAGGAGCAATTGGACATAAGAGCTACCCCTTTCTCCTCAGATGGCTTAACAGGCCAAATAAAGAGTAATGTGGTAAATTTGACAAGCTCCACAGCAAATTCAGGCAAACTCTTTTTAATCATGAGCAAATGGAGCTTGAGATTATAGCTATAAATTCAGAAAGACTGTGTATTAGTGAAATCTAACAATGTTGATGACAAAAGGAAGACCTTTGAATTACGGGATTATGACAGTTTTGTTCCTTCTGTCAACAGCTGAGACCACTGGGTTGTAACATAATTAATGTTCCTAGTGACCAACATGGCATTATTCCAAATGCTCTAAAAGAAATTCTATCTACTTGGAGCCCAGATGATACCCGTCACCTTCCCAAATTCCTGTACACTGTTCCAAATGGGTGCAACCCAACCGGAAACTCTCTGACCACAGAGCGCAAGAAGGAGATTTACCAGGTATGTAGCTGGGGCCTTGTGAGCCTTGTAGCTGGAAATGGAGAAGTGTCAGTCTCGGTTGAAGATATCCCATGTGTAGTATTTGGGCCAATTATTGGTCCAGTAGACACTCCTCCTCAAACTTGCTTCTAGCAGAACCTCTTTCATGACAACTCTTCAGGGGTGGACTATGCATTAAATAAATTGTTTTTTGCAATAGTACCCCATTGTTTGCCAGTATCTTTGCCATGGGCTTCTAACTGGACTTACTGCAAGATTCCTACACAGCTGGAACACTAATATGGAACAGATTCAGTTATTACACTTGACTTTGTACAGCAGGTACCATGTTTACTCTTATAATTGCTTGATGTCCAAATTGGGCATTTGAAAGCTTCTCTTGATAGGGCCTTGTATACAGCGAATGAGCAATACAAAGGATAATATAGAATCATAAAATAATTGGGGTGGGAAAGGACCTTAAGATCATCTAGTTCCAACCTCCCTGCTGTGGGCAGGGACACCTTACGCTAAATCATGTCACCCAAGGCCTCGTCCAACCTGGTCTTGAACACTGCCAGGGATGGAGCATTCACAACCTCCCTGGGCAACCCATTCCAGTGCCTCACCACCCTAACAGGAAAGAATTTCATCCTTCTGGTCCTGGTAATAGGCCCAGGGTAGAGTAAGTACTTAATTTACAGTGTCTTTACATTTTAATAAATCCTTTCTTTTTATTAATTTCTTTAGCTTGCAAGAAAATATGATTTTCTCATAATAGAAGATGATCCTTACTACTTTGTTCAGTTTGAAAAGGTAATTTGTCTTCCATAATCCTTAGCTATACCTTTTCTGGTCCAGGAGAGACCCAAGATATGAGCCATGGATCTTCCTGCATGTTCCTTCTTCATGTCCTACTCCAGGGTAGCTGTAGGCCTCACGGTCTATGCTACTTTCAGTTGTTGTCCCCTTTTTGGCATTTAATTGCCTCAGGTATGTTTATATTCCTCAGGCCTTATTACAGGACAGAGTTTCCTGCAGTAGTCAAGATAGCTAAGACTTTGCCTCCAGAGCAAAACAAGTATGCCACTGAAGCAGCACTTGAAAACAGCAGCCCCTTAATGATCCCTTCAGCCCAGTCTTTCAGTGGAAGATTGCCTACTCCCAATCCACTATATGCTAATTTTACCCCTTGGCCTTCTGGAGAACCTGAGAGAATTTTCCCAGATACCACAGGGAGTGCTACTGGATAGGCAGGTTCTTTTCTTCATGTAAATGTTCCCCAGATGGGTAACAATTGGCTGTTGACCCATCTTCACACAGGGGTCTACAGTAACACAGTCTGCACAAGTACCTAGAAGCTGGTCTTACAAAGCAGTAAAACACCGGTAGAATGTTGAACACTGGTTCAGCATTTTCTGTTTTGCAATATGTTTTTATGGAAGGAGGCAATAAAACCGCTTCACTTGTTGAATAGCATTACATAGCTTTTCTAGAGAGTGTAAGGGGAGAAGGCGTAAACGTAGAACTACTGATAAGGAAAAAGTGTGCTGAAGTCCATCAAAATTTGGCCATAGCTTCTGATTTATTTTATTATTATTATTTTTTAAGATAAATCTAAAAGCCACAGAGCCTCATCTTAGAAATTACAGTGTCTGTTCACTCCATAAAAAAATCTTGGCGAAGAAATAATTATTTTTCTCTTCTACTTTGGCTTCATACCAAAACTTGAACTGAGCACTTGTATGCTGAACAGTGGGCTAAGCATCAAAAAAACAAGGCTGCTTTCTTGATGACTTTCATGGAATATTGTAATCACAGATAGCTGCCCTAAACAGCCCTTGCCAGCAATTTACTGCATTATTTTTCTTTGAATGCACATCAAATTACTTACTATCAAAATAATTCATTAAGAAATTAATTATGTCTTCATAGTAAATGAAATTATTACATCATAATCTTGACTAGCATCTTGAATTTACTTTTCTTTTTCTCCCAAGCCATGGGCTCCAACTTTCCTCTCAATGGATGTGGATGGTCGAGTTATCAGGACTGACTCTTTCTCTAAAATTCTCTCATCTGGGTAAGGCAAGCTTTGGGCTGCTCAGCACTGCCTGTTAAGGCACAAGACTTCATATAAAATGATCAGACGTGTCAGTTTTTTCATCTAATATCTATCCATTTCTGGAATGCACTTTTGGATCCACAGCTTTTGCAGTCCACTCACTTTTCATGTTACCTCTTGGCAGTCATGTAACTCCAGTTTCTGTTTCTCTTCTGATACTGACCCTCCAGGCAGTCCATTCTTGCAGGCACCATCTAGGCAGAAAGACAGATGCTGGATCTAGCTGTGTTCCTGGAACTCCTAGCAGCTTTTCTCTCTTCTTCTTCCATTTCTCCTATCTCTTACCATTCCTGCAGTCTCTCTAAACTTGTAGTATAGAAAGAAATGGTGGCATTCTCCACAAACTGTTCGTAGCATTGTAGTGCTTTCTAGTCTTCTAGGCGTACAATTCTCTGCCTGAAAAACTAGGCTGGCTGTTTTGGCTTTCACATAAATGAACATATTTGATTAACTTGCTTTTGTTTGGTATGAAATATAAGAAAATAATATGAATTCTGCACTGACAGCTAGTCATTATAACCCTATACCTGAGAAAGTGAGGCAATAACATGATGCTAAGTGTGATTGCACTTTCAAAAGTGACACTGAAAAGCCATGGTTCATTTTTGTCTTTATCAGACATATAAGTTTACTGGTTCTATTTTTCTTCAAAGAAAAACTTGAGCCAGTCCCTAAAGATGGATCATTAGAATTGAAGCAGGAATAAAAATTTAGTTTATCAGTCTAAATTCCATTTATCCTGCAGTACTGAAAGGGAGTGAAAGAGTAAAGCTGTTCATTGCTTCCATCTGTTTTTCAGAAAGCCTGAGCACTCATGATTTTTCATTATGTGAAATCCCTTACCTTTGAGTCATCTAAATCTTTATGATTGTAGAGGAAAACTTAAAAATATGGGATATGTTCTGAAGTCTCAGAACTAAGAAGCTACTGTAAGCATTAAAAAACCTTAAATGTTTTTATTTCATTACTTTGAATCGTCATAAGTTGCATAAGCCTGGGGCTTAGGGCAGTATTAAAGTACAGATAAACTTAAAAGCATAAAAGATCCTTACAAAACCAATGAAATTGTTATATGTTCTCCCAGTGAGAAGTTAAACCGTAACTCTCATGAAGTATTAGCCCATTGCATTTCTGTAGTAACTTTTTTCTGTTGTTTTGTTCTGTAGGTTAAGAATAGGTTTTCTGACAGGACCCAAGCCTCTTATCGACAGAGTTGTTCTACACATACAGGTTTCAACAATGCACACCAGCACTTTCACACAGGCAAGTACTGAACTGTCAACTGAATTATATTTAGAAAAGCTAAGATATTCCAGGTCATAAGAAACCACAAACAGCTTTGCACTTTTGCAGTTTTGTTTATAAGCACATACATTATCAATTCTGCCAAGGGAAGACAAACTGCCATAGAAGTTAGAACCAGGGATAGATGGTGTCTCAGTGCACAGAAGGCACAGCTAATATGCCCTTAACTCTGAGATTTCAAGAATAAAGATGTAAAATACTTTATCTCTTGCTAGTAGGTTCCCTTGAAAAGCCTCAATGGAAAGCATACACTGGAAGAAGCACTCAGGGTTGGGTTTTGTTTGAGTTGGTTGGGTTTTTTTCCCAATTATTTTATAATTAGAACAATACTGGCAGCCCACAAAAACCTTACAAAGTAGTCTACCATCTACTGCCCCATTATGGTTAATTATAAGGAAAGGAGACATTGAGCTCATCTAAATATTACTTCCGTCTTCCAGCTCCATTTGTTTGCGAGAGGCAACAAAGCAAAGAGGCTGTTATGGGCACAACAGTAAATCAACATACACTGCCTTCCTTTTTCTTCCCGATTATCATATTTAGCTCTCCATCCATTTTTAACTCCCTCCATCCCAACATCCAAACACTGCCATGATCCTTAGAGACAGCAGTAACATGAACTACAATGGCCTTTGCCACCTCTGTTTATAAAAGGCTCCAAGAGATCTTAAAGGCAATTCTTGCTTGTGTGGAATTTTGAATAATGCATCAGGAAATGTATCTTACAATGATCTCAGAACAGTCCTGTTTAACACATTATTGATTATATGTTTTATTTCTCTAGATTATGATATTACAGCTGCTTCAGCACTGGGGAGAAAAGGGTTTCTTGGAGCATACAGAAAGGTAGGGTCATGTCGTATGCTGAATCCCATCATTTGTCCTTCTGCTTCTTGTTTCCTACGTAAAACATTCTTTGCAGCAAAAAGTCAGAAGAGATGGATCACTATTAAGCCAGATCATCAAGACTGACAGTATTCACAGAAGAGTCCTGAAGGAGCTCAGTGTGAAACTGCAGATATGCAAGTCAATGCATATAACCTACCACTACAAATCAGCAGTCTGGCAATCCATAGGCCCAGTCATTAGGCAAGCTCCCATGTGAAGGGAGTGCAAGAGGATCTTGGGAGCTCCCAGGCAGCAACTCTCTGCTGATGTGGTACAGTCTATAGCAAAGGCTAAGATCACTGAGCACATATCTACTGAGAAATGGTCAACATGGCTTCAATAAAGGGAATTCTTGCCTCACTAACTCAGCAGGGATTCACCCTCTTAACATCCTTAGTCTAATGATTTTGGATGCTGATGGAAAGATCTACAGCAAGGTTCACCTGCGTTTGCTAAGCATTGCCTTTATTGCCATTCTTGGAAACAGAACATTTTTTTGTATACTGACTGACATGCATTTTGCTTTTATTTATTATGCTGGAGGAACATAGTTTCTCTTGACTATCCATGGTTCATTTCAGACACCATACTTGGTTTCTATTAGAACCCCAAGCTTCCTACTTTAGCAGGGGTAAACTCTACAGAAACCTATAAATAGGAATATGAGCAAAACATAGAAAAAGTTCTTATACCTCACTGTAACAGGCACTTCTATCCCCACAGCACCTGCCTGTTGTCCATACTGTAAATACCAGCATTAAAAAAAGCAGCAAAACCCCCAAAGCTGACACAGCAGCCCTAGCCCTTGTTTTAAAGATTAGGAACATAAAGATGGGCTTTGCAAGGAAACTTGAACCACGCTTCAGCTCAACTTTCAGCACTTTGAAAAACATATCCCAAGTGCATCTCTCCACTTACCTCCTTCTTCTAGGCCAAAAGGCATGCCTGCTTAAGCCAGAAGATCATTCTTCCTCTGAGATAATGAAAATAGTATTGCAGTAGATTAGCTGCAATCCTCTATAACCTTTTAGGCTCAGTTGTCAGGTGACTTATTGATGAGGCCAAACAGCTGACTGGAATATCTTCCAGGTGATTTTATTTGGACAAGATTGACTTGTTAGAGTATGCATTTGAGTAGGAGTTAGTCTGTTGTTTGAAGCAGTTACATTTTTGTGGAAGTCTTGTCTTACTACTACTTATAATTTTATTCTGACATGAGAGAAAAATTGTACCAGGAAGGCAAAATCATGCAACAGAATTTGTGATGTGGTAAAAGTGAGATTCACCATTTCATGTAGAATGTAGCAATTGGTGTAGGCTGAGTCCCAGAACTATAGATAGAGTCTATGTTGGTGTTTGTCTATCAGGTGTACTAAAGTACACCCACAAATTAAAGCTATTGGTTCAGAGAGTATATAAGAAAAAATATTAAATTATGAAAATTACTGATTATGTTTTCTCTAGAGTTGGAAGCACATTTGCTGTCTGATTTATGAACTCTGTATCAGGCATTTCTCTTGTGTCTCCCCTGGCACAGGTGTCTCATGTTAACAAAAGAAAGACTTGTCCATGTTGAAACTTGGGTTCAGGTCATTTTCCTCATTTTCCCCAGAGAGAGAGTGAATTATTTGTAAGCTTCACTTAACATGAGAAGGAGATAGATTCCGAAGTGTAGAAAAGGGGAAGCTGTCAAATAGCCGTGATACATTTATCATATGTTTTGTGAAATACCATTTCCATGTGTACCTATTACAGAAATCAACCCAAAGGCACAAATGTTGAGTCTGTGCTTTTGCATATGTGTAAGGTCCTTAATTCTCTTCAATACGCCCATTTTGTGCAGTAAATATTGCTGACAGGGCTTGCATTCACTGGTACAGACAGAATGGATATAATATTGAAAAAGTTTTCATGACCTATGTAAAGTTAAGAAGCAGCCAGGCAGGCACTTTCTCCGTGTGGTTGATCTGCGCTTTGTTGGAGACATGCTGAAGCATTCAAGACCTCTCTGATACATATACAAAGTTTTATACACACAGTATACTGTATTTGCCCATCTAGGATATGTTTATATTTCCATTAAGTGTACACTTAAGTTGTTCAAGTAGAAAAGCTTTGTTTCTGCCTTTGGAAGGAAATGTACTCTGAAGCTCTATGAGATCATGACTTTGAACTGATAATTTACTTTCAGAGTGGTAGAGTTCTACAGGGCCCAACGGGATGCAATGCTCACTGCTGCTGACAAGTGGTTAAAAGGTCAGTGAGTGCAACATAGCTAATTACTTAATTTTTTTCCAAACTGTTTATCATGTTTGTGTTCAAGAAAAATCACTAAAGTTCAACTCTTGACTGAAGTGACAGATAAGCACTACAGCAAATCAATGACATTAAATATTCAGCTTAGGACAAATTACCTGGTACTGCTGTTTTCATGATTTTCTGGTGGGACAAGAGGATTGTGGTGAGTACAAAGCTCACCACATTACTGCATAAAGCACTTTTACAAAGAGCATATATTTCGCTCCAGTATGTTCTTATGCTGTTTATGTTTAAAATCTCTGTCCTTAAAATCTCTGAAATAGTCATCAGATTCAGTGGCTTTAATTTCAAAGAAATAAATAATAGATACAGCAGTAATGATAATCAATTTTTTTGTCAGAAATCAATTTCAGATGTTCCCTTTTGTGGTTAATCACACAGCACAGAAAAATTTGATCAACAATAATGCAACTACACTTAGGGATTCACTCCTTTTAGTCAGTTTAAGTGGAATCAGCAATAACTGCTGAAGAACTGCCCACCTACCTTAGATGATACTTTCATGGGACATGGGTGCTTGGGTACCACACAATCATTAATGTACTTACTCTTGCTAATTCCAGGGTTTAGAGATGAAGTATTTCTTTTTTTTTCTGCATGGATGTGAAAAACCGGGGGTTGTTGACCTGGCGAGGCCCTCTTTGTCTCAGTTCCCAAAGTATCAAAACAGTGTAATACCACTGGGCTACCCTAAAATGTGTTGGAATTTTGAATAATGCATCAGAATATGTGGCCTACATTCCCTTTGAGGTTATCAGAGCAACAAATCTACTATTCACTGAATTGATGA